CCAGACATTGACCGCTCTGTTGCTGAAGTCGTATTTCCTGCAACCGAGTTTGGCACGATTAACCTTGAGTTTGTATCTATCGTTTGCTCTTGTATTGTTGTGGCTGAAGCTGAAGTAGTCATTGACAGGTAGGACATTGCAATGTATGATTTTATACACAATACTTAGATCGGACTGAAGGCAGTGTAGTTCTAGGTTTTCTAGGTCTAGAATTTTGAGTCTGGTGGCATTAGGTATCCTGCAACGAGTAGAGGAGTGGAGAACTCTTCTTGTGAAATATTTCTGGACTTTCTTGTCTGTGTTAATATCAGATACCTAATGTGGGTTTCAGACTGTTGAGCTGTATTCGAGCTGTATTGGTCTAGCAAATGTTTTCTATGCTCTATTATTAGTGTAATATTACCAGAGAAAAAGCTACGTAGGATTAGGTTAACAACTCTTAATGCCTTTTTGGCTATGTAGTTACAGTGGGCTCTAGCACTTAGGTCATTTGAGATGAGTATTCCAAGATCCTTGACAGAGTTTGGATCATTAACAAGGTCTTGACTATTCAGCTTGTATTTTATTTTCTGATTTTTTTTTGCCAATGTGTTAGACAGAGTATTTATTTGTTGAGATTTGAAGTTGCCATTTGTTTGACCATTCTGATACATAGTCAAGGTCTTTTTGAAGGATAGCAGTATTTTCTGTGGTATTGAACAGCTTTACATCATCAGCGAAAAGAACGCAGTTGCTCTTGATATGATCACAGAGGTCATTTATGTAGAGTATGAAGAGAGTTGGTCCTAGAACACTGCCTTGGGGGACACCACTGTTGACAGGTACAGAATTTGATAGGACGCTTCCAATTTTGACCATTTGTTGTCTGTTTGACAGGAATGCTTCTATCCAGTTATGCAGGTGCCCAGAGATACCATAAGATTTTAGTTCTGCTGTTCCAGGAGATTTAGATTAGCTAGAAAGCAGGAAATCGTTGGATTTCTTGCTTTCTAGTTAATCTAAAAGCAGAGCTGAACCTTCCTTAGGACTGAAGCTTCTATTTTTCAGTGCAAACTTCCAACTCTGTTAATCTGTAAGCTTCTTCAGCTCTGACTGGCAGTTGGGGAACACAAAGCTGAAGAAGCTTCTTGGATGAGAAGTGAAACGTCTTCAGAGAAAAAAAAATTGGCAAAAAAAATCAGAAAATAAAATACCGGCTGAATAGTCAAGACCTTGTTGATGATCCAAACTCTGTCAAGGACCTTGGAGTACTCATCTCAAATGACCTAAGTGCTAGAGCCCACTGTAACTACATAGCCAAAAAGGCATTAAGAGTTGTTAACCTAATCCTACGTAGCTTTTTCTCTGGTAATATCACACTACTAACTAGAGCATACAAAACATTTGCCAGACCAATACTCGAATACAGCTCAACAGTCTGGAGTGAATCTGGCTTCCCCCTTGACTTGGCTTGTCAGAAGGTCGCTAAAGCGGATCACGTGACCTCCCGGGACCGTCATAAATACAAGTCAGTGGCCAAGCATCCGAATTTTGATCGCGTGACCACAAGATACTGCAAAGGTCGTAAGTGCGAAAATGGTCCTAAGTCCCTTTTTGTCAGTGCTGGTGTAACTTTGCAGTCACTAAATGAACTGGTGTAACTCGAGGACTCCCTGTAATATAGCCAAGCCCACATTGTTGCTATAAACTAGGTTTATTCAGCAGGAAGTCAAGTCAGGGAGCCCAATCTTAGGTTGTGTGTTATGACGTTGTCATCCTGAGAAGGTTTAAGTGCAAGTTTCTTGAAATGTCAACCTGTAGAAGGTACCCAGAGATGATACATCTCATATTTCTCCCACACTCCAGAGTCTGCCAACCCCCAAGTAATCATGATTAAACTTTAGATATCTCCCAATTCTGACTACTGCGGTTGAACAGGTAACAGATAATCAGAGTTGGAAGAGACTTTGTAGGTCATCTAGTCCAACCCCCCACCCAAGCGGGAGACCCTACACCATTTCTGACAGATGGGAGTCCAATTTCTTCTTGGAAGCCTCCAGGGATGGTGCCCCAACAAACTTCCAAAGGCAACTTCTGTTCCATGGGTTGGTTGTTCTCACTGTCAGAAAGTTTCTCCGTATTTCCAGGTTGAATCAGTTTCCATCCATTATTCCTTGTCTGGCCTTCGGGAGCCTTGGAAAACAGCCTGACCCCTTCCTCCTCTCTGGGGCAGCCCCTCAAATATTGGAAGATGGCTATCCTGTCTCCCCTGGTCCTTCTCTTCACCGGACTAGCCAAGCCCAGTTCCTGCAACCCTCCATTGTATGTTTTAGCCTCCAGTCCCCTCATCAACCTGGTTGCTCTTCTCTGCACTTTTTCTAGAGTCTCAATATCTTTTTTTATAGTGTTGTGACTAAAACTGGATGCAGTGCTCTAGGTGTGGTCTTACTAAGGCTTTATAGGGTAGTATTAGTACCTCCCTCGATCTCGATTGTATCCCTCTGTTAATGCAACTTAGGATTGTGTTGGCTTTTTTGGCGGCTGCTGCTGCACACGGCTGGCTCCTATTTAGCTGGTTGTCCACTAAGACTCCAAGATCCCTCTCCCAGTTACTGCAAATGAGTTTAGTTTCCCCCAGTCTATAGGTCTCCTTTTGGTTTCAAGTCTGAGATTTGATCAGGGGTGGGATTCAAAATTTTAAACAACCAGTTTCGGTGGACGTGGCTAGGTGGGAGTGGCTAAGTGCGGGCATGGCTAAGTGGGCATGGCTAGATGGGTATGGCCGTGTGACTGGGTGGGCATGGCTTCTTTTTTTTTGCAGCAAACCCCCCCATTTTTTTTGGCCTTCTGGGCCTCAGGGAAGCCTCCTGGGGGGGCGTTTTTGCTCCCAGAAAGCTGTGCGCCCTCCTACGCTTCATTTTTGGGCCTTCTGGGCCTCAGGGCTCCTGGGGGGCATTTTTGCACATCACCCGCTACTCCCTGTGCCCTTTTTTTGCCTTCTGGGCCTCAGGGAAGATTCCTGGACGAAGCAACAAGGAGGAATCTAGTACAACTGATCCTTAAGGAGTGACTGGGGTAGGGAGAACGCAGTCAACGATGTCAGGCAGCGATGTCGGGCGCAGAGGGGCAGGGCAGGGGCCATCCAGGGGCACGATTTGCCTGTTCACCAAACTGTGCCGAATCATAACAACCGGGTCTATAGAACCGGTCCGAACCGGTCAAATTCCCCCCGCGGATTTGATCCTGGATGAGAGTGCCGATCTGGTGGGTGTTTCTGAGATATGAAAGTGGAAGAAGCGCCTCACTCTAAAATGTATTGATTATTGATTTGGCTTTGTGGCTTTGAAGGCGGCAATCGCCTCCTGGAATGGGAACCAGAAGCCAATCAGCTGCCAAATTAGGGAGGGAGCGGTATATGGGCAGGAAAAAAAGGGAAAGAAGGAAGGGAAAAAATGGAGGGATATATGGACAGAAGGAGAAGGAAGGAAGGAAGGAAGG